GGTTCAGTCTAGCTGTGGAGGAACTCAGGTACAGAGAGTAGGATCGAGTAGCGTCGAAATAATCAAAGTGATTCACTAGAACATTGTTCTCCTGTTACCAACTGGCACAGTAGTAGTACAGTGGAAACTAGGAAGCTGCTGTTTAAAAAGGAAATTAGGGTTTACTAGTGTGCGTGACATACATAAAAGAAAGCCTCCTTATGTGGCTTTTGGAGAAGTTCCAGCCTATGTCTAGATCGCCATATGAGACTTCCAGTGTCACACCCACTTAAGTGGAATTTCCATTCAGAGGAGATTGGGGGAAATTAATGTGTACACAGGCAGAAGAAAGCCACACCAGGTACCTCTTAATTCACCATGTCTTTATCTTGCATGTTTTAACTGATAATGATGGATGGTCATGCATTTTAATCAAGTGAGCAGTGTAGATAAGAGCCAACAAATAGAGCAGTGGAGCCCAGAAGTAAAATAGTCATATTTGATATGTAAGAGAAGCTTAAAATTAGTATCTTCAGATATTCAAAAGCAGAGGCGAAGCAAGAGCAGAATGTGCTTAAATAAGTTCAATCTAAGAACAAGAAAGTTCTTTAAAAATTTAAAGAATTTAAAAAGATTGAACAAGTGTGAGAAGATAAATCGGTAGAAATTGTCCCAGATGTACAACATCAAAAACATAGATGGCAAATGATAAATAAGGAAAAATTAGAGGAATAATCCAAGATGTTCAACATCCATACAATAAGACACAGTGAATGCAGATGGAAGTTATCAAATGCATAATATTTAACAACGTTTTCTGTAACTGAAGAATACTAAAGCCTGTTCCCACAAAAATTTCCAGTTTAGAGCAGAAATACAGAGGGTTCCAAGAGAGTAGTTTATGTTGCAGGATGAGGGGGTGAAATAGGATGAAAGAAATAATAGACTATCTGCTGAGTTTAAACATATTCCAAAGAGATTTGCTGACTATTGAATTGTTTGGGAATAGATTAGTGCTTGTTGCATAGAAAAATAGTGGTACAAGCATTATAAATTTAGTGAACTTCATGAATATTATGTTTAGTAGTAATGTAAACACTGAATATTTGAGAACAAAAGGGCAACAACCTATTTTTGGAAGGACTAGAAGAAAGTATGAGGAGTGAGGTAGGAAAATAATAGAAAGTATTTAAGAGTAAGAAATTATTAAAGAGCAGTGTGTGATGTTATTTAAAATATAAAGGAACTAGCTAAAAGAATTTGAGGTGGTCAGGGTTAACTATTTTTGTTTTGTTTTGTTTTGTTTTGTTTTAAACATTATACCTACAATGGAACAAGAATCCTGTTGGCAACACACTTTTACTAACAATTTTGTATAGTAGAGATCAGCAGTGCAATTACGTATCCCAGAAGACTCAAGAGCAAATGGCTTAAATAACATGGAAATTTATTGATGCCTCAAGTGGAAAAGTCCAGGCACAAGTTTTTAAATACACTTGATCCAGGGGCTCAAACGAAGTGTCCACCATGCTTTCTCAGTTCTGCTTGTTTTCCTCTTTTCCTGAGCCATTCTCAGGCTTCACATGGTGATGAAAACGTTCTCTTTCCAAGAACCTCTTTCCGTAGAAATCCATGAGATTACTCTCCTTGAAACAATTTGAGTCACATATCCACCCTTGAACCGATCATTGTAACCAAGCATTTCTTCCTCCACCCCTACAAATTCCCTAGTTTGGGGATTCTTTGTCCTTTCATTTCTTCTTACACACCTGGATAGTTCTCTTCTGAGCTTGTCTCTTTCTTGTTATATTTTTGTCAAACACAGCTACCAGTAGTCAACAGATGCTATTAACTGTGTTTTAACCTGTTCCACTGAAGCTACATGTTTATTATTTATATTTTCTAACTTTTTAGTTTTTTCAAGAACCTTCTCACCAACCAAACTGTAATAGCTTGACAGACCAAAAATAGTTTATTCATGACTCATACCACTTGTCCACTGTAGGTCAGGAAAGGGACTCTTCTGATTCTAGGCCTCAAGTTGGAGAAGCAATCCAACCACTATTTTAAATGTTGGCAGTCACTGTGCAAAGGGAATAGGAGCTTTAGCAAGTCTGACACCTGGAAGTATCATGTGAAGTGTCTCAACTTACTGTTCAGAACTATTCATTTGATTCTATCAATCACAAGGAGGTCAGAAAGTGCAATTCTACCATGGACCTAGAAGCTAGGAGAACTGAAATTATTTGTCTAGCAACACCAGTCACTACCACATTGTCTTTCAGGACATCATAAAGTTAATAGGTTGCTAAAATTCTGTCAACCCGGTTGATCTCTTATCTTTAGAGCATTTCTCTAGAACCTATGCTCATGAATAAGGAGAGCCCTGCTCTGATAGCGCACCAGAGTGTCCGTATTTATTTTCCATGCACCATATGCATTTATACTTAGTTTGGTCCACAGTGATACATTTTTAAGTTTGATATTTGAGTTTTCCATTAAAAATAAATGCTATTGCAAGCAATCTTTTGAGAGTTAAAATTCAGAGTTTAAGCTGTTAACATGTCATTGATAACAATTGGTGTTTAGGTCTCTTTGTTTGCTCGGGAGCTTATGTACTCACCAGAGGATCCTTGGCTGCCTCTCGAACTTTGCATGCTCGACTGTTGGATAATGTGCTGCATCTCCCACTCCAGTTCTTTGAAACCAATCCCATAGGCCAGATCGTCAATCGGTTCACCAAGGTAAGTAAGCCATACCTTATTAAATAGCATACGTATAAATGATCCACATTTAGTACCTTATTATCTCATTTGTAAAAAATATCATTCTAAAAAGATGGGATTACGTTTAGGGTAGATTTCATTGTTATTTTATTTCTAATTCTTGGGACATTTATAATTGATGTATAGCAGAGTCACATCTTACACACATACTTAAAATAACCCTTAAAAATCGCTGAAAGAATCCAAGAAGTACATGAGCTCTGGTGTCTACAACTCCAATTCTTACACACATTTAGTTCGAGAATCAGTGGTTCAGGCTGAGGAGGGGGAGAAATGTAAGTCTGTATCGACGTATCCAGATTTTAAGCATTCTGCCTTTAAAAGAACTATCAACTCACTAATGGCAAATGGGGGATGGGTAGAGGTTCCCAGAGTGTCTCTGCTAACCTATAGGGTTTTACCCATTGTGTTTACTACTAAGTACTTGTAATTGTACTGTCCGATAAAATGTAATGCAAGCCACAGAGGTAATTTAAAATTTTCTAGTAGCCACAATATAAAAGTAAAAAGAAACAGTTGAAGTAATTATTTATAATAATATATTTTACCAGAAAATATCTGAAACATTAAAGTATAATCAATGTAAAATTATTGATCGAATATTTTATTTTTCTCCTACAAAGTCTTCAAAATCTGGTTTGTGTACTAGACTTCTGTTAGATCTCAGTTTGCAGCAGCCATGTTTCAAGTGCTCAATAACCATATATTGCTAGTGGCTTCTGTATTAGACAGTGCATAGCTATGATCTTAAAATACGGCAAAATATTTTTGTGTATATGAAAAACATTTGGTGTGGTATGGGGAAAAATGAGGATAAAACATCAAAATATAAATGAAAATACCTAGCATAATCAATTTTTGATGGAGTATTAAATCTTGCTTAATCATACCAATGTCACACTGTTCTTTGAGAGTTTATAGAAGAACTTGATCACCAGTGTTCTTTGTCTCCCAGTGGACATATCTCTATGACCCTACTAAACAACTCTCATTATTATACAGTAACATGACAAATGATTGGGTCTTGAACAGATGAGAATATGAGAAGGTGTATTTTAAAGACAGGCAGGAAGTTACATATGAATATGATGCTCTTACACTATATGGTATGTGAGATAATCATGGAAGTCCCAAAGCAAGGCTGAGAATAAATAAAATTCTATTTCCATTCTTTATCAGTTTTGTCCTAAACTGAATAGCCCATCCCTTCAAGGTTGAGTGCCTTCCTATTCCCTGGGATCTCTAAGATCGTACCTTATACCACAAACCTAGCTTTAAGTTACATGTGAACTGATGCATGACCTTCCCATGTCCTTTTCTCAGTCCCATTGTCCACCTCTGTCTTTCAGTTTTTAATTTTGTAAATGAAGATTATTTTGTTTTCCCGTTTCTTCTGATATTGGCAGGATCCAGCTATCCAAGAAGGTCACTGGACATGTTCTCAGTGGATAAGAATGGCCCAGGAGTGTTTTACAGTTTTTTAGGGAGTGAATAATGGTAGACCAAAGTTCCTGAATACCCAACTACCGGGGTTTGGACCCTTTTTTTTTTTTTAACAGAGTCTGATTTCAGTCCTATAAATTAAGTGCCATGTAGTTGTCATTGGGAAGTACAAATTGCTTGACCATAGACATATTGGTACTAGAACACCCTCTTAATTGTTACAGCTGAAAAATACATGGGGGTGGGCTGGGGAGGGCAGAGATCATATATTGAATAGTTAGATATTTAATAATCAGATTGTCACATCTGGGTAAATGTTTTTATTTTTACATTGAATGATATATGTCTTCTTCCCCTCATTTTAAACCATGAAAAGTTAAAAATAAAATGACTCGATATCAAATTTTTCAGGACATGTTTATAATTGATATGCGTTTCCATTACTACTTACGGACCTGGGTGAATTGTACACTGGATGTTATTGGAACAGTTTTGGTCATTGTGGGAGCTTTACCACTCTTCATTCTGGGGATTATTCCTTTGGTTTTCCTCTATTTCACTATACAAGTAAGTACACGGATTTTTATGTGTGTTAATAACTTATAAGTTCACAGTCAAATATAGTTTCAGACCCACTTAGACTGCCTGTTAGTTAAGGTTCTCTAAGGAGCAGATATCAAGAAAGGATTAGATGTACTAGAGAACTGCTGGGGGAAATGCCTGTAAAAGATAAAGGAGAGGGAGCAAGAGAAGGCTGGGTGAGCCCTTCGACAGTGAGGCAGGTCTGCTCCCTTCGCGGGAGGAGAAAGAGGATTGGGTAGGAAGAGTCTTGGACTGCAGGACGGTTCCATAAGAGGTTTGGTTGAATGAATGGGAAGTCCACAACCAACACTGCCCAGTGGATGCTCCCATGTGACCCCTGAATGGGCTTGTTTTATTTAGCACCCCTGCCATGCTCAGTCTTTGCCTGGGAGTCACCTGTGGGAAAAATGGCCTTCATTCTACTATAGTAGTGGATTTGGAGGGGCAGCGGCTCGGCTGTCAGTCAGCTATGGGCCCTGAAACAGGAGAACTGAGTTGTGCATTTTTATGGCCACCATAAAACCTAGGTGTTGTTTACATTTTAGCAGAAAGTTAATTTGCCTGAAGATCCAAGAGAGAAGCACATATTGCCTTTTGCCCTGTTATCCCTGCTCTCAACAAACTATTGCTGGAAGAACTACAACAGATTTCTCATGATATGTATATATCCTTATATTCCAATTAAAATGTGGTCAACTAGGGGCTTCCCTGGTGGCGCAGTGGTTGAGAGTCCGCCTGCTGATGCAGGGGACACGGGTTCGTGCCCCAGTCCGGGAAGATCCCACGTGCTGCGGAGCGGCTGGGACCGTGAGCCGTGGCCGCTGAGCCTGCGCGTCCGGAGCCTGTGCTCCGCAACGGGAGAGGCCACAACAGTGAGAGGCCCGCCTACCGCAAAAAAAAAAAAAAAGAAAAAAAAAATGTGGTCAACCAATTTGAATTCCAAAGTTATGTCACTGTGAGGCTGTAGTGTAAAAACAAAATTTCTTAACACATATTTAAATTAAATATAGAAGTTTTTTGAGGCTCTTTATACAAAGGGATGCAGTTCTTGTAGTTTAATGTTTTCTCAACCTGAGTTTTCAAATTCATATTGGAGTTTAATTTGTCCAACCAGGATGTTAATCCTTTGCTCATTTCCGCACCTGTACTATCATTATTCCTCCTACTTCCTATGTTGTCCCTCTCCTCTCTGCCTGTCTGGATCTTACCCACCCTTCATGCCTATAGGTTATATTCTACTTTCTGTGAGAAGCATTCTCTACCAAAGCAGGGCAAAGAGATATGACTCATGTAGTATTATGGATTTATTATGCTGCTAGTATTATAGGCTGTTTTTTATTGTTCTCGTTGTCATTTTATTTATCTATCTATCTATCTATCTATTTATTTATTTACTAGACCAAAAATTGTCTCCTCAATGTGATTGTAAGTCCTCTGGGGCAGACACTATGTCTTATAGAAAAAAAAAAATCAAGAAATTGAGGAATGGTGTTGAGGATCAATTGTGTCTGCTTTAAAAAAACAAAAACAACAAAACATATCACAAGTGATAGTCTTGTGGTTGGTGCACTATAGCAGGGTGTCTAGGAGTGGAAAGGAGTCTAGAAACCATGTCTTGTTAGGCGGGACTTTATAGGGTGAGCCCTGAATGAAGATTCAGGGGCCTCAAATTACTTTCCTGACTCCTGTGTTTGGTATATCACTTTCTTTTCCAGGCTTCATTTCCCTTCCCTGTAAAATAAGAGGTTTGCTTTAGGTCAGTACTACTCAAAGTGTGGCCCCTGGACCCATGAGCCTATAGAATCAGAATCTCTTTTTTAAAAAATCACATTTTACAACCAAAATATATACAATTTTTATTTGTTAATCATACCCTAATAGAGCAGAGGGAAATAAAGAATTTCTCACAGAAGTCTGTGCTTGTAAAATCCTTCTGGTAATTTTTACTAAAGTATGAGAAGCACTGATCTAAATCAAATGTTCTTAAGCTCAATGCTCTGGTCAGTTTCATGCAAGGACCCCAGGGCTTCTATAATTCATTGAACTTTTATGAAACTACCTTTGAGACAATCTCTTAAGCCCCCTTGCAGGCTCAGAATGCCGTAATCGTTTGTATTCTCTAGAGCACTTAGCATAGAGCAGAGCTTGTAAACTGTAAGCTGACAGGCCACATGTAGCGTCAGGTATGTTTTAGCTTAGCTTGCTTAATGTTTTTACCAAAATGAAGACATTTGTAAAATTAGGAATTTTACATAAAATTCCAGATCTGAAGATTTTCATGAAAAAAAATTGCAAGATATAGCAAACTCTTTATTTTCATTTCCAGTTTGTAGCAATTACGTGGGGCTGATGAAGGATCCACCCATCCCAGCTGTCCTCAGCCCAAGTCAGAGGGGAGGTAGTCAATTATAATTGTGGCCACGTTGGCTTTTTTGGTAGAAAAAAATAAAGAAAATTTTTTCCATAACTATATTTAGGTACAAAAATATTATTGTTTGTACATTTGGTTGGCTTCCTTCATTTAATGGGTTAACCACCTGGCCACACTTCCAACATGTAACATAGAGCTTTTTCCACAGTAGGTACTCAATAATGGGTGTTTGAGAGCATTATCAAAGTGAAATTTTGCCCAATTATGTTCTAGTTGTGCTATCCAGAATTTGGGCTTTTTACTGTTACAAAGGTGCATTCGTTTCCTGGGGCTCCTGTAACAAACTTGGTGGCTTAAAACAACAGAAATTTTATTCTCTCACAGTTCTGGAGGCCAAAAGTCCAAAATCCAGGAGTAGGAAGGGTTGGCATTTTCTGGAGGCTCTGAGGGAGCATCTGTTGCATGCTTCTCTCCTAGCTTCTGGTGGCTGTCAGAGACCCCTGGCATTTTCCTTGATTCCTAGGTCCATCACTCCAGTCTTGTCTTCACGTGGCTTTCTCCCTGTGTCTGTGTCTTCTCCTTTTCTATTTTTTATAATGACACTCAGATTGTATTTAGGGCCCACCCGAAATCCAGGATGATCTCATCTCAAGAACCTTAATGACATCTGCAAAGATCCTATTTCCAAATAAGGTCACATTCACGGGTACTGGAGGTTAGAACTTGAACTTAACTTTTGGGGGCTGCTCTTTAGTTACACAAGTATCCACTACACAAGTATCTTGCCATTTTCAAACTATTGAAGCAATTTTGGCTACATCTTCCCAACCGCCTCTTTCTGTTTTCCTGTTAGAGATACTACGTGGCAAGCTCTCGGCAGATTCGGCGGCTGGCAGGAGCATCTCGCTCTCCTGTCCTTTCCCACTTTAGCGAGACTCTACTTGGGGTGTCCACTATCAGGGCATTTGGACATGAACAGAGGTTCATCCAGCAAAACAAAGAGGTGGTGAATGAGAATTTGGTCTGTTTCTACAACAATGTGATTTCGAACAGGTAAGTCATATCCACATACCCAGTTCAGGACTAGTCTCTTCTTGGATATTTTGTTCACTAACTTCTAAACAGAAAGTGTTTGGTTTTTTTTGCGGCACTCGGGCCTCTCACTGTTGTGGCCTCTCCCGTTGCGGAGCACAGGCCCCGGACGCGCAGGCTCAGCGGCCATGGCTCACGGGCCCAGCCGCTCCGCGGCATGTGGGATCTTCCCGGACCGGGGCACAAACCCGTGTCCCCTGCATTGGCAGGCAGGCTCTCAACCACTGCGCCACCACGGAAGCCCTAGAAAGTGTTTTTAATGATATTTCATCAAAAATATTAAAGCCTTAAATATTTCTAGTATTTAATATACATTTAAGTTAAAGTGTATCTATTTATGTCCGTTTGAATAGTACATGCTACTTTACGTGAAAATAAGGTCCCACGTTTTTTGAAGGTTGTACAGGATGCTGTTAGAATTAGTAAAGATGTGACTCTTTGTTGTATTTTATATTTGTAGAATGGATTTTCTTTGCAAACAATAATCTATAATATTTTGAATTTGAAGCCATACATTTCACATAGAGGAGAAAAAATAAAACATTAAATAGTAGTTGGGCACATGTTAACTTTTAGTGACTAATTTTATCATATAAAAAACGTGTATGTAATCAGAAAGTTAAGTGATTTTCCAATGGGATTTTAAGATGAATGCATCATTTCAGTTGATGTTCTTTTGATTTTTAATTCTGATTAAGTTTTAAAGCAAAGTTCTGCAAAAGTAAAGTGTATTTTTATGCAGAGAAATCCTTTACTCTATCATCACTGCAAAAATCCTGTTTGATTGAGTTCTAAGTAAGTGTGGAAAAGGAGAATGCAGCTATTGATGTTTACTTCTTCATTTTTCAGAGGAGAGTTCATACTAAGTGCACCAAAACTTTTGCATCTCAGTTCAGGAATGTTTTCCATTATTACAGGTGGCTGTCTGTTAGACTTGAATTTCTTGGCAATTTAATGGTGGTCTTCGCTTCACTGCTTGCTGTGCAGGCTGGCAATTCTGTGGATTCAGCAATTGTTGGTTTGTCCATATCCTATGCCTTAAATGTAAGTAATAGTGATTTTTGTGGTATATGATACGTTTATAATCCAATTAATTAAGCTTTCTTCTCCTTTTCCTGTCTGAATTATAGATTGTGTTAACTAAGTAATGAGAGACAAATCTGGATTACCCTGGAGGCTCATTTCTTTCTTTTGCTACTACCAAAAGAGCTAGCTCAGTATTTCTAAGTTAGCTCACAGAGAAAACAGGCTGATACCCAAGGCTCAGTGCTAGAGGATCCAGGAAACTCCTGCTGTTGCATTATTACCCAGAAGTTTCCTGTTCTCTTATCCTTATAGAGTTAATAAAGTATAACAGGGATAGGGCCCCTCTCTACCGTGGCCTGTCCATCCGGTTTGCCCAAACTAAGCAGAGAGATAATGCAAGCTCTAGGGAGAATATATGCTCTGCTTGTAATTTTTTTCCTGATAAGCCCTATTTTATATGGTACTGCAAAGTGCTAGTGGTATGACTGTGTGCAAGTCCCCTTAGTAAAATAGAAAATGTATCAAACTGCTTAATATAATTCCACATTATTTAAAAGATGGGTCTACATGATTTGGGTACATGCCCTTAGTCCCTTATCTAAAAGCTTCAAGTCAGTTGCATTTCAGAATTCAGAACTTAGGCTTCTAGAAAGGAATTATAATACATTTAACATACATATATATATATATATATACACACACACACACACACACACACACACACACACAAATAAATATATCCATATGTATGTATGTATGCATGTATATATGCAGGGCCTGGGGCAGAACTCTGTAATCAAACTCTTTGTTCTGCAGTGAAATATGTGAATGTACATCCTAAGTGAGTTAAATCAACACTTTAAGGAGACCCACATCAGTTCAGTCAGGTTGGCCATCAAATGGTTTAGCACCAAACTCAAGAAAAATCTGAATCGTGAGCGTTTTGTGACTTTCAGAACTAGATTTGAAGTTACAACCTTGGGGAACTTATATTTAGGGGTAAGTGGCGTGAGAAGAAAGTAGAGTTTGGGGGAAGAAAAGGAGACAGGAGTAGTCAGAAAATTCCTTCAGATGGAAGCTGGTAAAGAATGCCAAAGGTAACATTGTGTACACATTTTTTCCTCACTTAGGATGTACATTTCTTAAGGCATATCCCATCAGTCTTGGTATTCATTATTTCTTACACCAAGTATGGTCTCCTTTAATATATGTTGAACTATATTCATTCCATCTTCTGACAAATAACCATTGTTTATGATATTAATGAATTTAACAAACTGCACATATGTGTGTCTAAGAATAAATATGCTTACTTCTAAAGTTGTTAAATAATTCTAAGAAATAAAATATATGAAAATTCTGAAAAATGAAGCTTTATAAAGTATTATTAAAAGTATATAAAAGACTGATACTCATTCATTAAGCTCTTGGTTTTTCACCACCAGATTACTCAATCTCTCAATTTTTGGGTAAGGAAAGCATGTGAAATTGAAACCAATGCAGTTTCCATTGAAAGGGTTTGTGAATATGAAAATATGGATAAAGAGGTAAGCACTCCTAAATAATAAATGGATGCAGAATTAAGATATTGTAATACACCTTGAATTGACATCATAAAAATCAATTTAAAAAAATTTTTTTTAATTTATTTTTTATATTTTTATTTTTTTTATTTTTATTTTAACATCTTTATTGGAGTATAATTGCTTTACAATGGTATGTTAGTTTCAGCTTCACAACAAAATGAATCAGTTATATATATACATATGTTCCCATATCTCTTCCCACATGCGTTTCCCTCCCTCCCACCCTCCATATCCCACCTCTTCAGGTGGTCACAAAGCACCGAGCTGATCTCCCTGTGCTATGTGGCTGCTTCCCACTAGCTATCTACCTTACGTTTGTTAGTGTATATATGTCCGTGCCACTCTCTCGCTTTGTCACAGTTTACCCTTCCCCCTCCCCATATCCTCAAATCCATTCTCTAGTAAGTCTGTGTCTTTATTCCTGTTTCACCCCTAGGTTCTTCATGACATTTTTTTCTTAAATTCCATATATATGTGTTAGCATACGGTATTTGTCTCTCTTTCTGACTTACTTCACTCTGTATGACAGACTCTAGGTCTATCCATCTCATTACAAATAGCTCAATTTCGTTTCTTTTTATGGCCGAGTAATATTCCACTGTATATATGTGCCACATCTTCTCTATCCATTCATCCGATGATGGACACTTAGGTTGTTTCCATCTCCGGGCTATTGTAAATAGAGCTGCAATGAACATTTTGGTACATGATTCTTTTTGAATTATGTTTTTCTCAGGGTATATGCCTAGTAGTGGGATTGCTGGGTCATATGGTAGTTTTATTTGTAATTTTTTTAGGAACCTCCATACTGTTCTCCACAGTGGCTGTATCAATTTACATTCCCACCAACAGTGTAAGAGGGTTCCCTTTTCCCCACACCCTCTCCAGCATTTATTGTTTCTAGATTTTTTGATGATGGCCATTCTGACTGGTGTGAGATGATATTTCATTGTAGTTTTGATTTGCATTTCTCTAATGATTAGTGATGTTGAGCATTCTTTCATGTGTTTGTTGGCAGTCTGTATATCTTCTTTGGAGAAATGTCTATTTAGGTCTTCTGCCCATTTTTGGATTGGGTTGTTTGTTTTTTTGTTATTAAGCTGCATGAGCTGCTTGTAAATTTTGGAGATTAATCCTTTGTCAGTTGCTTCATTTGAAAATATTTTCTCCCATTCCGAGGGTTGTCTTTTGGTCTTGTTTATGGTTTCCTTTGCTGTGCAAAAGCTTTGAAGTTTCATTAGGTCCCATTTTTTTATTTTTGTTTTTATTTCCATTTCTCTAGGAGGCGGCTCAAAAAGGACCTTGCTGTGATTTATGTCATAGAGTGTCCTGCCTATGATTTCCTCTAAGAGTTTCATAGTTTCTGGCCTTACATTTAGGTCTTTAATCCATTTTGAGCTTATTTTTGTGTATGGTATTAGGGAGTGATCTAATCTCATAGTTTTACACGTAGCTGTCCAGTTTTCCCAGCACCACTTATTGAAGAGGCTGTCCATTCTCCACTGTACATTCCTGCCTCCTTTTTCAAAGATAAGGTGACCGAATGTGCATGGGTTTATCTCTGGGATTTCTATCCTGTTCCATTGATCTATATTTCTGTTTTTGTGCCAGTACCATCCTGTCTTGATTACTGTAGCTTTGTAGTATAGTCTGAAGTCAGGAAGCCTGATTCCTCCAGCTCCGTTTTTCGTTCTCAAGATTGCTTTGGCTATTCAGGCTCTTTTGTGTTTCCATACAAATTGTGAAATTTTTTGTTCTAGTTCTGTGAAAAAATGCCAGTGGTAGTTTGATAGGCATTGCATTGAATCTATAGATTGCTTTGGGTAGTAGAGTCACTTTCACAATGTTGATTCTTCCAATCCAAGAACATGGTATATCTCTCCATCTATTTGTATCATCTTTAATTTCTTTCATCAGTGTCTTATAATTTTCTGCATACAGGTCTTTTGTCTCCTTAGGCAGGTTTATTCCTAGGTATTTTATTCTTTTTGTTGCAGTGGTAAATGGGAGTGTTTTCTTGATTTCACTTTCAGATTTTTCATCCTTAGTGTATAGGAATGCCAGAGATTTCTGTGCATTAATTTTGTATCCTGCTACTTTACCAAATTCATTGATTATCTCTAGTAGTTTTCTGGTAGCATCTTTAGGATTCTCTATGTGTAGTATCATGTCATCTGCAAATAGTGACAGCTTTACTTCTTCTTTTCTGATTTGGATTCCTTTTATTTCCTTTTCTTCTCTGATTGCTGTGGCTAAAACTTCCAAAACTATGTTGAATAAGAGTGGTGAGAGTGGGCAACCTTGTCTTGTTCCTGATCTTAGTGGAAATGCTTTCAGTTTTACACCATTGAGGACGATGTTGGCTGTGGGTTTGTCATATATGGCCTTTATTATGTTGAGGAAAGTTCCCTCTATGCCTACTTTCTGCAGGGTTTTTATCATAAATGGGTGTTGAATTTTGTCGAAAGCTTTCTCTGCATCTATTGAGATGATCATATGGTTTTTCTCCTTCAATTTGTTCATATGGTGTATCACGTTGATTGATTTGTGTATATTGAAGAATCCTTGCATTCCTGGAATAAACCCCACTTGATCATGGTGTATGATCCGTTTAATGTGCTGTTGGATTCTGTTTGCTAGTATTTTGTTGAGGATTTTTGCATCTATGTTCATCAGTGATATTGGCCTGTAGTTTTCTCTCTTTGTGACATCCTTGTCTGGTTTTGGAATCAGGATGATGGTGGCCTTGTAGAATGAGTTGGGGAGTTTCCTCCCTCTGCTATATTTTGGAAGAGTTTGAGAAGGATAGGTGTTAGCTCTTCTCTAAATGTTTGATAGAATTCGCCTGTGAAGCCATCTGGTCCTGGGCTTTTGTTTGCTGGAAGATTTTTAATCACAGTTTCAATTTCATTACTTGTGACTGGTCTGTTCATATTTTCTATGAACAAAACCTCCATTTCCAAATTTATGGTGTAATATTTCTCATTTCGACGAAATTAAAATTCAATCTATTGTAAAATACACCATTATTTTATATAATCACTAAAGTAGAAAAAAAGCACTGCTGGGCTTCCCTGGTGGCGCAGGGGTTGAGAGTCCGCCTGCTGATGCAGGGGACATGGGTTCGTGCCCTGGTCTGGGAAGATCCCACATGCCACGGAGCGGCTGGGTCCGTGAGCCGTGGCCGCTGAGCTTGCACGTCCGGAGCCTGTGCTCCACAACGGAAGAGGCCACAACAGTGAGAGGCCCGCGTACCGCAAAAAAAAAAAAAAAAAAAAAAAAGCACTGCCTATTAAATTAGGACTGTTCATAAATTTTAAGATATCCCATTTCAGTATTGTTATAAAAATGAAATATGAGCGCCTGTTTTTAAGGGGCACAGTGATCTGTCCCCTTCCAATGTAAAGTAAAATATGCAACCTGTAATTATAACTTTGTAAAGATTTGACTTCGAGAAAAGTGTCTTAATGCAGTCACCTCACAATTATTTACAGTCTGATTGTCCAATTTCAAAATTAACTACGCCTTTACTGCTTATACCTTCTGTCCCATTTACTCATCATTAGCATCTCTGTGGATGGGAAGAAGGAGAATAAATCAGTCTGCTTTGTTCCCTTTAATTAACTAGAATTTGGGAGAGAGAAGAGTTAGACTATAGGCAGAGTATAATATTAGCATTATCTACATATTTTACTAACCTAGGGTACTTCTGTCTCCCAGTTCCATGAATTAACAGGGCAGATGATAAAGGGTATATTTTGAATTTCTGTATCTTCTTCAATCCATTTATAAAGGTATCTAAATCTTCGTGAAACTTTCCTCTTTTGCTCATAACTCTGAGGAAGAAGTGTTCCTCCTCCAAATAAAAACATACAGATTTCCAGTTTTATTTTGGAAACATCTCTTCGTATCTTTTTCAGACCTTATTCCATTAACCACCTTCTCTAATTCCTAATTTCAGCGCCCCAACTCCTTTACTCCTTTCAGCCTATAAATATACTAAAATATTTTCTGCATACTCCAACTTCTACCTAAACTTTGAATCTTCCTCTAGATTCTTCCCTGGGTCTTACCTTCCTTTTTCATACACATTTCATGAAAGATTAGTCTACCTTCACAATCACAATCACAGTTACCAATATCTAGTTTGTTCAGCTTATTGCCACGTAATGACTAATATAAAAATTGTATCATTTTCTATATTTTCTAAATCTAAATGTATATTTTCTAAATCATTTCTATATTTTCTAAATCTTTTTAGAAATCTTGCCACGTAATGACTAATATAAAAATTGTATCATTTTCTATATTTTCTAAATCTTTTTAGAAATCTTTCTGTATTTTCTAAATCTAAATCTTTTGCTATTAATATATGTTTATTAATAGCAAAATAAACATAGCAAGCACACACACATTAAAAAAAATCATTTTTACATAAATCATCTTTATGTAATTTGATGCAAGTTGTAACAGACACCATTGCAAAAACTCTTGATGTGGAAAGAAGTAAATGTGTCCAAATGACTCCTATTTACTCCTCTATAGCCCTGTTTCTCTGCTCCTCTTTACAGCAGAATTCTTGGGAATAGTTCCTGTACTTGTTCTCTCTAATTCCTCTTTTCTCATTCCTTTCTGGACCCTCTTTCACACAGGCTTTAAATCCTACCACTTCACTGAGCCTGCCCTAGTCAAGATCACCAATGGTAGCCTCTCTGTCTTCACTTTGCCTGGCCTATCGTTTGACACTTGTGATCACTCCCTCTCATGAAAACAATTCACCTCACTGGCGGGGCACCACAGTCTTCTGTGTGTTCTTCTACCTCCTGCTTTTCCTCCAGTGTTCCAGAGCCAGGCCTCAGTCTCAGGTCCTCAGCATATGTAGTTAGTCTCCTTTACCTGGAAAGGGTTTCCTCTGATATCCACATGATTTGTTTCCTGACCATGTCCAGTTAAGCCTTTTCTAACCTCCCTGCTTAAAATTACACCAACCCTGCCTATTTCCTGATTTCCAAAGCTTTATCATCAACTAAAATTCTGCATAGGCTATATGGTGCTTTTTGTCTCTCCTCACCAGCATGCATGCTCCATAAGGGCAAGAATTATTTGTTTTTCTCACTGCTAAATCACCAACAACCAAAGCATTAACTGGCACAGTAAACACTCAGTATTTGGGAGATGAATAAATGACAAACTGTCCTCCTCTCAGCTAAAAATTTCAGGTTACCTTCAGATCCTTTATAAGGTTTTAGATTTTTCTTAATAACTTAATAGAAGATGGGAAGCCTCTTTATGTGTAAAAATTTATTTCTAAGATTTTGGTATTTTTTAAAAGTGTTTTCAGAAAACTCATAATGTTTACAAATGTCTTTCATCACTTTTGTTTTATCACTTTTGTTTATATGCATGAGAATTATTTTTATTGGGGGGGAGATATTTTTATTGTAATTATAGTTTAAAAAATATTTCTTTGTTTTAAGGCACCCTGGATAATGTCTAAAAGGCCTCCGTCACAATGGCCCAATAAAGGGATAGTGGAATTTGTTAATTATCAGGCTCGATACCGAGATGATCTTGGTTTAGCATTACAAGATATCACTTTCCAGACTCATGGGGAAGAGAAGGTACCATATATGTTTCATAAGTCTCACTTTACCTTTCATCTGAATATATTTATTGTTAAGGCCAAAGTATACTGTGATATTGAATATAAGATGGTCATTTGTTCAAATTTCATATAAAAGTAATAAAGACGTGGTTGGTTTGTACAGAATAAGCTTTTCCTCTATCAACAAAAAAATATATTTTAAGCTGTTCATAATCTATTGTGAAACATGATTTTACTATTTTTTAGCTTTATTGAGGTAAAATTAGCAAATAAAAATTGTATTTTTTAGGGTGTACAGTGTGATAGTTTGATATACATATATTGTGAAATGATTATCATAACCTTAAGAACACTTAAGATCTACTCTCTTAGCAAATTTCAGTATTATTAATTATAGTCACCATGCTGTGCATTAGATACCTAGAATTTATTTGCCCTATAACTGAAAGTTTGTACCCTTTGACCAACATCTTCCCATTTTCCCCACCCTTCAATCCCTGGTAACCTTTTGTTTGACGTTTTGACGTTTTTAGATTCCACATTTAAGTGAGATCATACAATATTTTTCTCAGTCTGGCTTCTTTTACTTAGCATAATGTCCTCGAGGTTCACCATGTTACCACAAATCGCAGGATTTTCTTCATTTTTATGCAGGATTATATATATGTTTATATACATATATTTTTTTCTTTATCCATTCATGCATGGCATACACTTAGGTTGGTTCCATATCTTGGCTACTGTGAATAATGTTGCAATGAACTTGGGAGTGCAGATTCCCCTTCATCATACTAATTTCATTTCCTTTGGCTATATACCCAGTATTAGTATACTTTATTTTTACGTCCTCTAGTAAGTGAAGTACAACAATAAGACAGTAAAATAATATATAGTTACCTATACAGTAAATACATCGGAGAGAATATTTGTATAGTCAGTGACATCATGTTTTCCAAGACCATTAGTGAAATGGGAAAATGCTTGAGATGTAATTTAGTTGATAAACACTATATACGAAACTATTGATAGTATATCATTTTTGTGTTCTAAACAAGCAAACATATACACATTAGCAAAAATCCTAGAAGAACAGTTACAAAGCATAAACACTGATTCTCTCTAGGTGATGGGATTTTAGATGATTTTTGCTTCTATATTTTTCCCTCATTTTTCAAAATGTTTTATGAAAACATATTATTATCCTGCCTAATCAGATTGATATTTTACAAATCAGTAAAGCTAAAAAATCATTTTAATTAACAGCAATGTTCCATTTTCCCTTTTTTAGAAACCTGCCTTTGGTATCTCCAAACACCTCCTTTTCTAACCCTCTAAACCAGGTCCACTGCAGTGACATCAAGGACAAAAATATTTTTGGAACAAATGAAATCATTGTGGAATTTTAATTATTCTAATGAATTCAACATACTCCTGGTTTTTCTGATGTATAATAGTATGTCAGATTTAAGATTTAAGATCTTTAATTAGGGCAAACCAGCCACCATAATCTTCTCTCTGCCCAATGTTCTACTAACACCAAGATACAAATCAGCACCCAAAAGAGGTTGCTTTAGTTCTCGTGGCCAAAGGAACACACGCAATCACTGGATGTTTATGACAAGCTGATTATTTTGTGCAAGAGTCCAAAATACTCAGACATTATCTGTGACCACCCTTAATGGTTTTGATGCAGTAGTTGTTTTGATACACCAAGGAAATTTGCAGGCATTCCTTTAGATTTTTTAGCCTATCTAAGCAAAGGGTTCCAGTCCCCTGTTTTGTTTGTTCGTTTGTTTTGGGGGAGGGATGGTAAAAAAGCCTCATTTTGAAAGTCTCTGGAAAACAACCCCATTATCAGTCTCTCTTTAAACCACACCCTTAATGGCTAGTTTAGGGATGGTTCAGGGATGATCTCCTCTTCCTGGGGCTGCTAATGTGCTCTAGTTAGGTGGTAAGTAAATTACTCAAAACTGGAGGAAAGGGACTTCCCTGGTGGCTTAGTGGTTAGGAATCCGCCTGCCAATGCAGGGGACACGAGTTCGAGCCCTGGTCCGGGAAGATGCCACACGCCTCAGAGCAACTAAGCTCGTGCACCACAACTACTGAGCCTGCACTTTAGAGCCTGCAAGCCACAGCTACTGAGCCCGCGTGCCACAACTACTGAAACCTGTGTGCCTAGAGCACATACTCTGCAACAAGAGAAGCCACCACAATAAGAAGCCTGCGCACCGCAAGGAAGAGTAGACCCCGCTCACCGCAACTAGAGAAAGCTTGCGCGCAGCAACGAAGATGCAATGCAGCCAATAAATAAATAAATAAAAATTAAAAAACAAAACAAAACTGGAGGAAACACACATTTTAGCCCAAGCCCTTCTAGTGAGTAAGGAGTGTCTGGATAAAGACTCATCCTTGCAAGTCACGTTAAGTTTTCCATGACAGTCAATGTTATTCTGGTTGGGAAAATTAGATTCTACTGACCCAACGTAATGTATTTGTTGTCAGTACCAAGGTCCCCTTCCCTTACAAAAAGTACAATGTAAACTGTTTATGTTAATTTCATTATAGATTGGAATTGTGGGACGAACTGGAGCAGGCAAATCAACACTATCAAATTGCCTATTTAGAATTGTAGAAAGATCAGGAGGCAAAATTATTATTGATGGAGTTGACATATCTACAATTGGGCTTCATGACCTTCGTGGCAAACTTAACATTATTCCACAGGTAAAGACTGTTTTGTCGTTAGTCTTTCTTAACTCCCTCCAGGGAAACTTCATCTTTTGTTCTATTTTATTTTGTTTTTGTTTCAATTCTTTTTTAATATATTCCTTTCAAGCATACACATTCATTTTGGGGAGCCAAATTATTTTAAATGTAGTATGAAAAATAACTATGTAATTAAATCCTATTAAACACTGTAAATCTGAAGCATTCTCCCTACGTGCATTTATCTATTTGAAAAACTGCTATGTTGCTTTGCAAGTTTCCTTCATAATAGTAAATACAAATAAAATTCAAATGTAGAGATCAGGCTGAAACACATTGGTATTTTTTGGAAGAAAAAACAACTACTGAGGCTTTTGCTTAGTTGATAATTTGAATGTAGGATTTTGATTCTTTTGACTTGAGGTTTAGAAATATTGAAAAAAATGAAAAGAACAATAATGCAGTTAGATCTCTTTTCAAGTCCTTTGATTTTTCCATCTGTGGCATCAGAGGAACTTGATCATTAACAAGTATGCAAATTGGCTCAATAATATGCCTCTGCAGTCTAAGATGACTTTATTCAGTTGTGTTTGAGAGATTTAAGCTGAGCATTTATGAAATATCTTTATATTATTCTTTAAAAATATCTTAAAATACTATCACCGCTTTGTCATAGTGCTTAAACACATACTTACATTCATGAATTTACTTCAAAACAAATTTGAGTAAAATCTGAAATTCTGGCAGGGATAAAATTGACTGGAGAAAAGAAACAGTCATTCCTCTCATAAATCAAAACAGGTGTAGTAAAATACAGTTTCACTAGACATGTCAGTGTATTGGAAAGAGCGTGGACTTGTCGTCTTTGAATTCTACTTGAGCACTTACCTTCTGTGTGTCCTTGGACGAGAGCTTTTTAAAACCTCCAGTTCACTATCTGTCAAATGAGGATATTTACTTCTATCTTTCTGGGTTGGTGGGCTGATAGATAATATTATATACATAGTATAGATTACATTTATTCAATTCTTTTCTGTATTATATTATATCCCTGACTAAAGGGCAGCTACCATCCTCATTATTATCGTGGTTGTGATCGAGACATTATTAATAAGAGGACGAGAAAGAATCAGGAAGCTTATAATGATTTAATCTAACTTGCAACTTATTCTGATTTTCTTCTGCTTTTGGGTTCAATATAAAATGAATTTAATAACTATTTAGTTTTGATCATTTTGTTTTTTCCTTATTTAATGTACGCATGCCTCATGTGACAGTAAGATTACTGGTGACTATTTTATTCTCTAGGACCCTGTTTTATTTTCTGGAACCCTTCAAATGAACCTGGACCCCCTAGACAAGTATTCTGATGGCGAGCTATGGGAGGTGCTGGAACTATGTCACTTAAAAGAGTTTGTGCAGTCCCTTCCCAAGAAGCTGCTGCATGAAATTTCAGAGGGTGGTGAAAACCTCAGGTAAGCTGCTAAGAGCAGAGCTTGCCCAGGTTATTCATTCAGGGCTTTTTAGAAACGAGTTGGCCTCAAAAGGAAGTCACTCCTGAGCTACCAGGATTATTTTGGCATGCCCATCTAAAATGCCACCCCGTACCCACATTTTACACCCTCCCTTTCTGTACGTTCGAATTCTTTTCATTACTATGTATTTTACTCATTTTTTTTTTGTCTCCCCATGTAAACACACAGACAGAGCCTTTTGTCTGTTTAATTCATTGTTCTATTTGCAGAACTTGGACCAGAGTCTGGCATATAGTAATCACTGAGTGAATATTTCTTAAAGAAAAGAATGAATGAATGTGTGGGTTAGGAAGAGAATAACAGTATAATTCGAATTTTAGAACAGGAAGTGTGTGACCGTAAAATCCATTGTGGAAATCATTTTACTATTTTTTATAACAGTGTTGGACAGAGACAGCTTGTCTGTCTTGCTCGTGCTTTGCTGAGAAAAACAAAAATTCTCATCTTGGATGAGGCAACAGCTTCCATCGATTTTGAGACTGATAACTTGGTGCAGACTGCAATCAGGAAGGAGTTTTCTGATTGTACCATCCTGATGATTGCTCACAGACTGCATTCTATCATTGATTCAGACAGGTATGCTTTATTTGTTTTCAGAAATAAAACAGTTTCTACAGAGATACCTAATGAACATATGAAACACATTAATTACTTGCCACTAATAAAGGATTTTATCTGTGCTGAGAGATACAAAATGTCCCCTAATAGTATGGAAGATATTTTCCAAAATAATTAGAGGAATTTGTTAATGCTCAAAGAATATTAGAAAACTTGATATATTTCCTGAGTTAAATAGTACCTTTATTTTGTACTGACATAACTCATACAGTAACTTAAATTTTACGGTAGCAAGAACAAGAAGGGTGAACTTAAACACTGATTGTACGTTACCTGACTGGATTCTTTTCACATTGCAGGGTGCTTGTTCTAGACTCTGGAAGGATTACACAATTTGAAACACCACAGAATTTGATACACCAGAAAGGACTTTTCTTTGACATGCTAACAGAAGCAGGAATAACACAAGACTCAGGGACAAAAAGTAAATACTTTTAGTTGTATATTGATTATACCAAATTAAAAAAAAAAAGTATTTGAAAAAATAAAGACAGGAGAGAAATGCAAAAAAGCAGGCCCCTAGCTACATGTTAACACAAACAGAGATAAGCACCATAGCTCTAACCATAATGGGCTGTACCCAACCTTCTTTCTTCCATTCATTCCCTCCAGAATATCTGCCTTTTCCTCATTGCCCAAAGTGCTAAATGCCATTTATCCCTTAAGTCTCTGACTTTGTTCAGGAGTCATCTTCTGCACAAAGCATCTCTTGATTTTTCCCCTCGCTCCCCTATCTGATCCACATGCCCTTTTTCTGTCCTCTGAGTAGCCCTATGTGCATACCTTTATCATGGCAGGGACCATACTCTATTTAAATCCTTTTAGTCTGCCTCTCCTTAAAGCTACTTGAAGGCAAGTGCCCAGTTTATTGTTTTTGTGTGTTAGGTTCCTAACATAGTACCTTTCAGATTGTTGATACTCCACAAACATTTGTAGAATGAAGGCATTTTAGAGTAATATTATACAGGCACCTATAATAACTTTTGAGTTATTTTACAGTATATAAAATTATGGAGGGGCTTCCCTGGTGGCGCAGTGGTTGAGAGTCTGCCTGCCAATGCGGGGGACACGAATTCGTGCCCCGGTCTGGGAGGATCCCACATGCCGCGGAGCAGCTGGGCCCGTGAGCCATGGCCGCTGGGCCTGCGCGTCCGGAGCCTGTGTTCCGCAGTGGGAGAGGCCGCGGCGGTGAGAGGCCCGTGTACCGCAAAAAAAAAAAAAAAAAAAAAAAAAATTATGGAGGAATCACAGAAAAACATATTGAGTTATTCAGCTGCTTTTTGGAAAGAGTAACTATATGTTAACTGAATTTTATAAAATAAAATTTTGCTTTATTTAAAAATAATATTTTATAATATTTTTACTATTTACTTTGAGTAAAAAACCTATATTTTCTATGGAACGTCATTTTCTGGCTTGATTAACCTCAGTGAGTTATATATCAGATGGTATACATTCACAAGTAATTGTTGATTTGTAGTACTAATTATATTTTGAAGGGCTTTTTCATTTGGTAGTTTTCTGTAATAGAAGCCACATTATTTCTCTGAATTGCCATTCAAATTTGAAGTTTTCAAACTTCAATGGTATTTTCCTTTCAAGATGATTTTAATAAAATATTTTAACATGTTAAGACTCAACAGCCATTTCTTTTATCCTCTTTTTCTCCTACCTGTGCAACAACTTTGTACAACCTTGCTTCATCCCCTAAGGGTATTTATGAAAAGTTACCATAAATTATAAAACCCTATATTATCTAAAGCTTCATTCCTTAAAATGTGAGCTACTGAAAGTGTTGTCCTGTCTTTACAATTCCTGTAGTACCTACCACTATGTTTTGTACTCAGTAGGCATTGAATAAATATCTGTTGAAATCCATTAAGAAAGGGAACTGGATATTTCATTAATATCAGTTAAAATTTACGTTTTGGCCTCTTTACACATGTAGTAAATCAATCAGAGACACTGCATAATTTAGAAATCTAATGGGAAATCAACAGTCACCTGGATAAATTGTGGTATCTTCATACAGCGGAATCCTATACAGCTATGAGAATGAATGAACAAATGCTACAGGCAACAACACCGAAGAATCTCACAAACATAATGTGGAGTGAAAGAAGTCAACCACAGGGGACTTCCCTGGTGATGAATCTCACAAACATAATGTGGAGTGAAAGAAAACACAGGGGACTTCCCTGGTGGCACAGTGGATAAGACTCCATGCTCCCAATGCCAGGGGCCTGGGTTCGGTTCCTGGTCAGGGAACTGGATCCCATATGCATGCTGCAACTAAGAGTTCACGTGCCACAACTAAGGAGCTGTGTGCTGCAACTAAGGAGACCACGAGCTCCTTACAACAAAGAGGCTGCCTGACACAACTAAGACCCCATGCAACCAAATAAATAAATTTTTTAAAAAACTATAAAAAAGAGAAGTCAACCACAAAAGCATATTCTTATATGATTCCATGCTTCTCTTGATACAAAAGGTTTGTTTGTTTATTTTTAAAAAGAGGAGAAACTATACTCCTAGAAGTTGGGATATTGGCTACTCTTGGTGGTGATTGGTAATGATTGAAAGGGTGAACAAGGTGGGCTTCTGGGAAATGATTATGTTCTGTTTCTTGATCTGGGTCTGAGTATTGGTTCAATTTGTAAAAATCATCAATCTGTATACTTAGGATTTGTGAAAATATAGATAGATAGTTATAGCTATATATATACATAGATATCTCATGTATAATATAGTTCAATAAAGAGTAAAAAGAAAAAGTAAAATAAGTTAGTCATTTAAAATGACTAAGCCAAAATTACTCAATATAATATTGTGTTTTAAAAAATCAGTATTTCATTCTCATTTTTATTATGTACATCAAGTTTGTTCAATCACTGAAGTGCTCTTTGAAACAAAGTGCAGGATACTTAAAATGACTGGATTATAGAGGAGTAGTAAATTTGAATTAAAAAAACCTTTGAATTCAATGATTTATTTATTTCAAAATTTTAACTTCAAAATATATGAAGAAAATAATTATTATCATTTGGATATGCAGAAATATTTACCTTAGCTGATAGAATGAAAATCCTAAGAAGCATTAGGTTGAATTCTTTTAGGATGAGAATATTTATTACTGAAAGCCCACTATATGCCAAGTAATGTGCAAGGCACTGGAATAATTTATTACTTTCAATTCTCAATAAAGAATATAAGAAAGTTATTACCGCTCGCCCTAATTTACCAAGTATGATAAGATACCAAGAGGATCTTGGCCAATAAAATGTAGAATCCAGGCCCACATGACTACAAAACTGATGATGATGTTCTTTTCAGTTCTCTAATAAGATGTCTCATTCCTAGAAGAGCCACTTAAAGAGTCCATAGTTCAAGAATGGGGGGAAGAAGAATTTTAAACCAATAGCTGTGTAGACAAATGGAATTAAACCTTGGGGGTAGGGTGCTTCTTCAAATATAGTATTAGTTTGAGCCATATGAAATAGTCATTTTTGTAGGTAAAAAAGTAGTTGAATAAGGGCAATTTCATATACTTTTAAATATAGCTTTGATATCACAGTTAGTGTTAAGAAGATGTAATGCAGTATTTTAATACATGTGAAAATAATAAATAGTTCTAACTGGTCTAGAGGGCTTTTATTCTAGGGAAAAAAATCAAGAAAATTAAAATAAGAAAATATTATAGTAGTTAAAAGAGTTCAGGATCTAGTGACAAAGTGCTTATGCTAAATCTCAACTCCACCACTTTCTAATTGTGTAAACTTGGGCAAGTTAACTTATTTCTCTGGACTTATTTGGGTGTAAGAATTTTATCTACCTCCTAAGGGTTTTGGGTTGTTTTTTGAAAATTAAATGAGATAACACAACATTTAGGACAGTTAAAACTCTTTCTGGAATATAGAAAACATTCAGTAACATGTTAGCAATCACTTCAGTACTAACAGTCCTATCTCCTCTCCTTATAGTTGCAGTTTTGTGTTTACAAACAAAGTCACATCATAGGACATAATATTAAGTAAACAAAAAGGGCAAAACTGAGCCAATGTTTATGAAAGGCTATTCTATACACAGCAACAACTTGGGGACAATTGGAGACTAAAATAAGACACGGTCCTCAGTGGTGTGCAATGTGATTGATCTCAGTGAGATTAAGCAAAGTTGAGAAGGCAGAAACAGGGCAGATCTCTTTCTAGTTCCTTCCAGTTCTCCTAGTTCCCACTTTTCTAGCTGTCATTTTCCAAGCAAGTAGACCATCTGTGGAATACAGAAATCAGGACTTCTGGCTGCATTATGAGCCACATTTCTCTAAATCTTTTTATGAAAATTAATACTATTTTGGTAGTTTGTATGGTGGCTGCTATTGGGTTAATGGGGCCAAGGTAACTGGTGTGAACCCAGTAAAGGCTGACTGGCTTCTCTCGATGACCGCTGACTAGGTAACCAGGTTATTTACAGATCGACCAGATTTTGCACATGCTCAATAGTTATCATAGTTGATCAAAGATAGCAACATTTTCTCTCTTGAGGACAGCACAAAGAGAAAAATAAAAATGAATAGGGGGTTTCCCTGGTGGCGCAGTGGTTGAGAGTCCGCCTGCCGATGCAGAGGACACGGATTCATGCCACGGTCCGGGAAGATCCCATATGCTGCAGAGCGGCTGGTCCCGTGAGCCATGGCCGCTGAGCCTGCGCGTCCGGAGCCTGTGCTCCGCAACGGGAGAAGCCGTAACAGTGAGAGGTTATTGCTTTAAACCTAACTAAAAATCCATGAGAAAAAAGAAGGGAAAAAAAAAAAAAAAAAAAATGAATAGGCATATGAGTAAAGTGTTAAAATATATCATAAACTGAAAAATGTTTGTGATAGTTGTGAAAAATATTTGTGAAAAATTTGAAAAATATTTTTCCAAAACACTTACAAGGAAAATGATACATGTGCATTTTTGTGTGTCAAGGGAAGAGATACAAGATTGATTTTTGAGTTCATGTTTACAAGACTCAGCTTATAATTAATATACTTGTGAATGATTATTGGTTTACTGCTATTTTTCAACTCCTGATAGACAGAAAATGTAATGTGGTTATCAGAGAATAAGACTAAATGAATGATTTAGAATATGTGACAGTGGAGTACCACAGGAACTAGGCATAAATGTTAACCCAGCTTTAGTCAACACTAACTCTGTCTGAACATCTGCTTCTGGCTTTCTGTTCTGAGCGTTTGTGCAACAATTTCCAGGTATTACAGAACAGCCTCTGCTTTCCCTGTATTGCTATAGCTATGACTTTACAGAGGTAACAGACAAGAATTAACGTTGGCCATGATGCGTAAGGTCTTGAAAACTGTTGTTTCATGTATTTTCTTCCACTTTTTAGTTGAATCAGTTCCTTTTTATTCCATCTTGGCCAGAAGCAGAAGTCCAACAAATGGCAATTTGGCCAAATGTTTAATCACAAAGTAAGGGTCAAAAGTTTAAAACCACAAGGAAGGGAAGAAGGAAAACAAAGAAAGAAGTGTAAACAACTAAGGGGCTTGTTTTTCTTAGGTAGAAAGAAGTCCCAAGGTAAAGAGGACAAAGCTGGCCAGAGCAGTTCCATAACACCACTGGCCACTTCTACCTTTGGCTCAACCATCTATTGCATGTCCATTGATTGGTAGTTGCAAACGCACTGCTTTATCTCCAGCATCATGTCTGCATTTCAAGAAAGCAGAGCAGAATTATGTCACATACCCATCCCTAGCTGCAAAATAATTTTTAAAGTAGGGGATGTTGCCACTCCAAAAAAACTGGGTTCTGAAAGTAAGAATGAACAGAAAAGATATTGCAGTAGCATTTAGCAAGGTCTGTCACCACTACTTTTTGTCGCAAAGTATTTTTCGACTATGACAAAATATTCTTAATTTAGTTACTTGGGAGACAAAAGAAGGGTAGTGGTTACAACTAATAAGATCCAATTTCCAGTTTCCAATACTATATAGGCTGTGTTAAGCAATTTAAGGTGGTTGGATGAACTCTTAACAGAATTGTGTGTTTGTGTGTGTGTATTTATGTGTTTACGTTGTGTACGTAGATATATATATATATATATATATATATATATATATATATACACACACACACACACACACACACACACACACACACACTCACTCACTCACATATATATAGCTATAGTTATAAAGTTGTGTTATGCCATTTAAGACATTTCAGGAGGTCTTTTAGGTAAGCCAAAAAATAGTTAATTCAATGAGGTGTAAGACAGACTGTATTTGTTAGTTTTTTAACATCCAAAAAACTTAATGTGAGGCAAGCTAGTAATTCTTCCCAAAACTAAATAAATGCTTTACCACAGCAAATTTATTTTCTCTTATATTTCTGCAGAATTTTGCAGCAGTTTTTGACTCATAGTTTCAGGGTCTTGAGGATATTAGGGAAAATAACCTATTTTCTTGTGGCATTTTCTTATAATCCCTCATAAAATTAGCAAGTCACTGAACTTTGTTCATTCTCCTTCTATCATCTCCATTCATAATACTTAGCACTTTCTTGCCAGGCACTCACAAAACCCCAATGTATTAGGTACTATTATCTTTATTTCGTATCTAAAAAAATCTGTAAATTCAAATTTGCTTCTCAGAAATGTAAAGAATTAAATAGCACTGTCTAAACCTGTAACATTATCTGGTAAACAAGAGGTCTTTCATGGATACTATCCAGTTTAGAACTGAACAAAAATGGTGCTATAGGATTGCATTATAGGATGGATAAGGCAGCACAGCATTGGGGCTGAACATGGACTGGATTTGAATAACTCTGCTACGTATTAGTTGTATAATCCTGGGAAAATTACCTAACACATCTGTGCCTTAATTTCCCTATCTGAAAATGGGGTAAGAGGAACTACCCCTAAGTTTGTTAGAACAAAATTAATTAGTATTGTTAAAACATTTAGAACACTCCTGTACATAGTAAGCACTATTATCTATTGCTGAATAAGAAATAAATAAAAATTTAGTAAGCTTAAAACAACAAAAATGTATTATCTCAGTTTCTGTGAATCGTGACTCTGGAACTGCTTAGCTCAGTGATTCGGGCTTAGGGTCTCTCATAAGATTACATTCAAATTTGAATTATGGCTACATCATTTGAAGCCTTGAATACCAGGTCGAAGCATTGGAAGTCACATAAGAAACTGCCTACCTCAATAGGGCACTGTGTATTTGTTAGCCAAGTGAAATAAATGTGGATGTATCACTATTATTTCCTCATATATTTTGAATCTCGCATTAGCAGTAGTTATAATAACTATGCAGGAATCACAGGAACTAGTGATTGGAGAGGCAAATCTACTGTTTTTATTTAAGGGCTCATTTGAAAAGACATTTATCAAATGAACTTTTAAAAAAATTGTATTGAGTTTCTTGCCCAAAGAATAAACTTTATTAGAGAATTATAAAGTGTTAATCACCAACCAAAGGATTACAGTAGTCTATTATGCAGGATTATTAACTATCTAGATTAGTTTTGGCTCCGTTATAGTCGGAAGCCATGAATTGTTATTCAGAATTTTGAGTATACTGTTCATGATACAGGAAATGTCTCTTCTAAATTAAATATGTCAAAGAAATATGTCAGAGTGAAATATTTCTTTAATTTAGAAGAAACATTTCCTGCAGAAATAGAGACACAGACGTAGAGAACAAACATGGACACCAAGGGGGGAAGGAGCAGTGGATGAACTGGGAGATTGGGATTGACACATATACACTACTATGTATAAAACAGATAACTAATGAGAACCTACTGTACAGCACAGGGAACTCTACTTGATCCTCTGTGGTGACCTAAATGGGAAGGAAATCCAAATAAGAGGGGATATATGTATATGTATAGCTGATTCACTTCGCTGCACAGCAGAAACTAACAAAACATTGTAAAGCAACTATACTCCAATAAAAATTAATTAAAAAAAAGAAAGAAGTAGAAAAGTAAGCAATTCCAGGGACATTCAGGATGTAGGGAATTAGGTAATAGCTGCTGAGGTCACGTGCCGTGAGCATCAGATCAGCTCTATTCCCGTTTCCTTTCTTATTTACATACCTCAAAAATGTACTCTGGGCGTAGTCCAGAATAGAAAATAAAGGACACAATTTAAAAAACAAACTGCAAAGTGGTATTTATTTACATTAAAATGTGAAATACCTGTATACACACAAATCTAAGAGGCACAATCTGTTATGCACAATAAGTATGATCTTCAGAACATGTTATACACAACAGTATCTGCTGATACATAAGTGGTTCCAGTGAAAACAGTAAATACCAAAACATTCCTGACACAAAATAAATTATTCATTCACATATTCTAATCATACAAGACAGTTAATATTTTAAGTTATGTACTTCAAAAAACACTAGCAACATGTACAACCAAAATGTATTGTTTTATGAAAAATGTCTTCAGATTATTATGCATAAATGATCCCTTTCAGAATGCATTTTTACCTTTTAAATAAATAAACTACATTGATTTCAAGACGATTTATATATAGCCCCCTAATATGATTGAAGACATTTTTTTTAAAGGTATAACTATACTAGAGAATAGTTATGCTTTTCTAATATGCTAATGTCCCCCAATTCCAACACTGCCTATTTTTCGGAAACAATCAAATTATTTAAATTCCAATTTTAGAGTATGAGATTAGCTGCCCTGTTTTGCAAATTGTTTCCTCTGAGGACTGTTAACAGATTGTCCTGAACTATCTCATATACTGGAGAAATTCAAGCTTTTTAAAAAAAATCTTAAAATGCTTTAGATTAAAGCTGTTACTATCTATGGAGATTTTGATAAATTGAACACTTTTCTCTTAAAGACCTTTGCAAAAAGATATTTTTCAATTTTAAAATCTAGTAAAGATTTTTATAAAGTCCAAAAGAACACTTGAATATTTTCATAATGCAGTGAAGGATTCCTCTTTGGCATTTCTCCATTTAGTTCTAAAATAAAACATGTCAACATTTTATATTTTTCTATTTACCTACTACAGACATTTTCTGTACACAAAAGTATTTGATTGAAATTGTTTTAACAGCAATTTCATTGCTAAGAAACTTTTTTTTTTTAGGATCTGCAAAAAACACTCAGATTTTTACTATGAGAAGCAGAAATGTTTTGATGTTGCTGAAATGAGCTTGCTTATTTCTCCTTTTCAGTGGTTGGAACTTCAACATCCTTTCAAATTCAACAATGGATAAAGCAGACATATTTTATATTAGCAAAACTGCTGACCAGAGTTTAATTTTTGAATATCGATAGGAAGTAGCCTCTATTAAGGAAAAAGAAAATCTTCAAATAATAGAGGCATCACATAAATAAAACTACTATATTTTCTTTCTTTGTTCCTGCATCTTTTCTGAAAGGAAACAAACCAAAACTACGACAAATACGGATTTGTGGACATTTTTTTCACATTGTCTTCCACTTTAGATTTCCACATTATTTCCAGTATTCACAACCTTTTTGCTCTCATCACACACTAACCTTAAGGCTAAAAACAGTCCAAGTCTGATTAGTTTTAAATGATGGTAGGAAACAATAACAAGGTTTTTACAAATGAGTACAATTTTCCTCATTCAAAACTAAATATGGGTAAAAATCTCAGTAAAACTGAATCAAATGCAAGCTAAATTCTCCAGGGCTTACTGAAAATAAACAATGAAACAAAACCAAAAACATAAAATACTGTACCTAATTACTGCTGTCTATCAATGTCTACAAAGGTCTTAAATAACAAAAAATATTTATAGTAATGACGGCTTTATTGTGACATTAACACATTTTTAAAATGTAATTAATAATTCTCTATTGTTTTCAAACCATGCAGAATCATGGAAATCCAAGCAGAGAATGACACATGGCAGATGAAGGAACTAAAATATAAATTGGTAATGAAACATTTGAATAAATCTGTAGCTATTTTAGAAAGAAAATAAATTGATCCAATAAATATATTTTGAAAATCTGGAGAATGCAGGTTATAGGAATAGGACACAAAATGGGATACTGAGTTTGTGCAAGTAATTTTGTTATATATGGCAGTTATTGAATATTATATATGCAGTTTATATTAATAACACTGCTATCTCCCAGCCACTGTAAGTACCTGACATCAACACTGTCCTTCAAGTATAGTTCAAATTTAAGAGTTACATGTGATAACCAAGTAAATAAATTACCAGCTCCTGCTAATACAATTTAGTAAGAACTGGGAATCCTATAATTGGCACTAGGCAATGTTTATAGAAGATAGTTTTAAGTGCACATGAATATCTACTTCCAGAATGCAGAAAATACAGTCACCTATGCTCCTATAAGAGTTTTACCTCAATTCTTTCACTTTAGAAGTATTTGTTGAAATGGGATCTCTCCAAAATCAAGGATCAATCTGGCCACATTCAATTCTAAAACAAAATGTTCTGTAAAATTTCATATATATAAATGTTACCTTTTAGGTAAATGTGTGAGATATTTTAGAGACTTGATTTAGTGGACAGAGGTGGTCTGATAAATAGGAAGAGATCATCAGACAAGATCTCAAAAGACCATCCCTCCATAATTCAGTTGAAGTTGGTCTTTTGTAAATGCTTATTGGGAATTTCTAATGCACTGACTTGGAGAGGCCAAGAGCCTCCATCAATCCCTGCTTGGATTGCCACTCCTGTCACCACTGCCAAGTCAGGGTCTACAGACGTGTTGGGATCCTTTCCAAAGAACTCTTGAATGACTTGGCGGATTCGAGGAATTCGAGTTGAGCCCCCAACCAAAACCACCTCATCAATCTCAGTTTTTTCCAGGTGGCCTTCTTCTAACACTTGCTGAATGGGTACTAGTATTTTCTGGAAAAGATCTTCATTAAGGGTGTCAAAGAGTTTCCGTGATATTTCTGTTTCAAATAAAACCTGACTTTCTCCATTTTTCTTTTCAGGAAGGCTAGCTCCAAACATGCTGTTCACACGGGGGCTGTCTGCTGGGGAAAGTTCGTCCTTTGGCAGTTCAGTGTCACTACTCTGAGGTTCCTTCCCGTCCTTTTCCTCCACCGTTAGTAATACCGACATCTGGGCAGTCTGATGAAGAGTCAGGTTTAATTTGACCATTTCTACAGCTTGTCTTAATCTGTGGATTTCCTCTTTCCTAGAGGGTAGGAAGCCATATGTTTGATAGATCTGTTTATATAAGTACTGAAGCAATCTTTGATTGAAGTCTTGTCCTCCAAGTTTATTGTTTCCTAAGTTAAAAATTAAAAAGTTTATATTAATGAATATATGTGTATGTGTGTACATATATACATATGTCTGTGTAGTATGTATGTATAAATGATATTCTGGGAAAAATAAGTCCTTATTTAATGTATTAAGATTTTATTCATACAAAGACTGATTAAAAATAACTGGATTAAAATGATTTTAATTCAAATGTATACTATTAAAATACAGTGCACATCTGGGTTTAAATGATGTAATAGGAAGTATCTCAGTGATATCAAATACTTTTGCAGAAAGTAAGAAATTGAGAACACTGACTGGCTTTTTTTTTTTTTTTTTTTTTTTTTTTTTTTTCTTTTT